TGAAAGGAGGGTGAGGCCCTGATAATATGCCATGGCAGTATGATGTTAAGGGAGGGAAAGGTCTTACTCTTTTATTTGTGAAGATAACTAGAACCTGCTTAAGATTTTTCCTGGACTAGGAGACTGATTAAACACACAAGCATCACACCACATAGAAGGGGAGAGAAATACTGAAAACTCAATGTAGATTTATGTGTAGAATTACAAACTGTGCTAAGCTCTGTGGAGAAAAAATACAAATAGTCTGGCAAAAATAACAGGTGGGGATAGAACTCATATTAAGGAATGGTAATGAATAAAGACTGTCTGAGGAAAGAACAGCTGAACTGAAGCCCATCAGGAAAACCAGAATCAAGTAGATTAAGAGTTTGGGGGAATATCATTTAGGCAAAAGGAACAGAATGTGCAAAGACCCTGAGAAAGGAAAGAGGTTGGCTCATTGAGGATCTGAAAGATGTCACTTTAGCTGTGATGTAGAGAGGAAGGAGAAGGGTATGAGATAGGGATAGAGAAATAAGCAGAGACAAATTTAAAAAGGGCCATGTAGGCCTGGTTCTTGCTTTTATATTTTATTACAAAAGCCTAGGATGGCATTGAAGAATTTTAATCAGGGATCATGGTCAGGATAGCATTTTTAAATTATCAAACTGGCCAAGATGGAGATTGGTTGGCAGGGAGGCAAAAATGGAAGGAGAAAGCCCATGTAGGAGGTTATTTCAGAAATTCAGCCAAGAGATAATGGTATGTTGAAGTAGAAGAGTAGCAGCATACAGATGGAGAGAAATGGATGAGTTTAAGATATGCTTGGGAAGTTGAATGGAATTGCAACTGTTGCATTCAATAACTTTAAACTCTAGTGAGAGACAGGATCAGGTGGTAAATTATATGAGATTCAGTTCTAATCTAGGTCCTCTAAGAGTTAAGAGAACGTGGCAACAGTAACAGCAGCTTCCCCAATGTCTGAACCCACCATTTGAGCAGGATGATTTGGAGGAGGTAAGAGGTTGCAGGAAAAACTGGGCTTAGAGTCAAAGGGCTGTATCCCAGTTGGGTACATGACTGGGTGCTCACTCAAATGTGTTGTCATGCCAAAAAGGATAGAGCCTGGTTAGTCAAGTAATTTTGAAACCTACAAATAAAGACTCTGCCCAGATATGATCTAAGCACAATGGGGGAGGATAATTACATCCTTTGCCCATTTTTATAGCTATTGATAATAATGAGAAGAATAAGTAACATTATGGAGCTCTTTGTGCTATGCCCTGTGCTAAGGAATGTGTGTGCATATTCTCATTTAACCTCATTAGGGCTCTGTGAGATAGGTAGTATTATTTCTCCTATTTACTAACACTAAGGCTTAGAGATTGGTACCTTGTCCAAGGCCTGATTTCTAGTAACTAGAGTAGTGTATATTCAAACTCAGCTCTAACTCCAGAGTCCACACTACCAGCCATATAATGTAATATGTTGAGAAGGATTCTGAAGATGCATTTGGGTTCAATGGGGGCAAAGTCAGATGGGCACAATCTGGTCAGTCACATATAAGCATGTGCCTTATAACCATGTAGCCTTATTCTAAAGTATAAATCACTGTGGATAGCATAACAAAAGAAAACTGTCACTATATTTTATGACTTTATAGCATATCATGTTCATACTCTAATGACCAATTATAGTTTTCAAGACAACTCACTAGGAAGAGTATTTGAAGAATCTGGTACATGAGGGTCTCTAGACATCTTAGCATAAGAATTCTAAGCACATTATGAAAGATTTAAAAACCTGCTTTGAGAGCCTCTTCTCTTCAGAACTCAACTGGGGAGTGACATCAGGCTAGGAAATGGTTCTGGGGTAGAGTCAAGCTTTGAGCTGTCAGGGAAAGGCTGAGTTAAAACAAAACTGCATCATGTCTGGGAACCCAGTGTTAACTGGTATAAACCAACACTATTTCTTCTGAAAGCTCTCATCAGAAAGAGCATTTTCAACTACTAATGTGGCTTTCTTCTCACCCCTTTCCTGCCCCCAGTGGGGGAAAAATGTTTATTCTTGTTACATAATTTTGCTCTTCTTTATGTCACCAAGTGCCTTTTGATAGTATTGCATCTGACAGATCTCTTATTGAGAAGTTGCCAACAACCAAAGGATAATTACCTTAGTCTTCCAGGCATGTAAAACACACACACACACACATACACACACACAGAGTGGACCATGCACAATTCATTGGAAATAGTGCTCAACTGCTTATATCTCAATGAAATTTGCTGGGGTTGTAAAAAAATTCTGCATCTCAAAGAATGCTTTGTGCAATAGAATCTTTTGCTGAAAGGAGATGGGTCCTTAAATATTAGGGAACAGAAGTGGGACAGGACTACGCAGGGAATCAATAAGCATTCATGAAATGTCTACTTGGTCAGGCACATTGCTAAATTCTGAGGATATAAAGAAGAATGAGATCTAAGAGAATTGACAATCCAATAAAGAAGGGAGAGAGGACTCATACAGCAACTCTTAGATTGAGTATAAAGGAGATTTATACACACACACACACACACACACAAACACAAACACACATTATAGTAGTTCTCAAAGTTGTGGTCCCCAGACCAACAGCATCAGCTGGGAACTTATTAGAAAGGTCCTACGTAAGACCTACTGAATCTCAAACTCTGAGGGTGGGGCCTAGCAATCACCTCCCAGTACACCCTGTACTGAAACCACTGTTTAGCAAAAGAGATGACAATAAAGTATAATTGTTTTGGGGAATCGTTGTATTGGTTACTGGTATCCAACCAGGAAATAATAAACTTGGGCTCTGGGGTCTTTCAGGCTGTTGTAGCCTAGCACTATGAGGCAGGTTTAAGGTTTCAATTGTGCCAAAATCTGGTGCCCTCCAGCTTCAATTCTTGCTACACATCTGTGTTAGTTTCCTATTGCTGCCATAACAGATTGCCACAAATGTGTGGCTTAAAACAACACACATTTATTATCTTTCTGTTCTAGAGGTCCAAAGACCAAATTCAGTGAGGCCTGAAGTAAAGGTGTAGGGAGGTCTGGTTCCTTCTGGAGGCTCTGGTAGAGAATCCATTCCCTTCCCTTTTCTAGCTTCACGACACCACTTGAATTCCTTGGCTTATGGCCCTGTATCATCTTGACCACTGCTGCCCTCATCATATCTCTTCTGACTCTGTCCCTCCTATGTCCTTCTTTTAAGGACCCTTGTGATTACAATAGGTCACTCAGATAATGCAGGATAATCTCCCCATCTCAAAATCCTTAATTTAACCACATCAGCAAATTCCCTTTGCCATGGAAGGTAGCATATTCACAGGTTTCTGGGATTAGGACATGGACATCTTTGAGGGGTTATTATTCAGCCTCCCACAACTTCCCCTTCAGTGTTGCTGGAGAGAATAGGCGGGGGGGGGGAGGTGGGAAAGAGATATTGAATGACAGAATTTTTAGGAGGATAGGATTTATAAATGGGTCCAGGTGTTACTTTAATTTGTTCCACAGTCATTCCTCCACATAAAAGCCCAATCAAGTATCCATGGCTTAGGGTGTCCCAAAAGAAGAGCATCAGTGAGGTTGGCAAGGCCGGGACCTCCCTGAGCAAGCCTGTTTATCCCTATGTTCATCTGTCTACTGGGCATCTCCACTTAAGTAGGCACAGAACTGAACTCTTCATTCCTGTCCCCTGTCCTGCCACCCCACCCCAACCTGGTTTTCCTCCTAAAGTCCCTATCTCAGATAAATGCACATAATGTATTCACTTAATCCAGAAATCCAAATAGTATTTCTTTGTCTTTCAGTGCCCCAACCTCCCTACCACCCACATCTAATCAGCCACTGACCTCTGTCAACCCTATCCCAGACATAACTCTCTTCCTTTTCAACTACTCTGGCCAGGCTTGGTTCAGAGGCTCACCATTCCTCACCTAGATTTAGTGAGGGCCTCTTAACTGGTTCCCTGGCTTTAGGATCACCACCTTTATCATCACTAGCATGATAATATTTCCAAAACACAAATCTGTTACTCATTTTCCTCTGCTGTTTATAACTCCCTAATGCCATTTTAGAATAAAGACCAACTCCTTAACAAGGCATATAAGGCTCTTCCTGATGTACCCTTAGCTTATCTGTTCAGCCTCATGTTTGCCATTCCCTCATATGATAAAGCAAATTATTTACAGATCCCAGAGTGCATCTTCATCCCTCACAACTCTTATCTTTGAACCAGGCTCTTCTCTTTGCTGGAACATCCTCATTCGATTCTACACCTGCCTGGAGTGATGACTCTTTAAGTCTTCCTCTAGACATACTGCCCCGGCCTCTTCCTTCTGTCTTACCACCCACTATGCACCCCTGGAAGCACTTATTATCCTGAATTATAATTTATGATCTATTGTCTCTCAGACCACTAGACCCTGAGCTCCTTAAGTGAAAGGATTGAGTTTTAGTTATGTCTATATTCTCAGAGCCCAGCACAGTACAGGGCACACAGTAATTGTTCAATACATTTCCCAGTTGAATTGAGATAGTACATGACACTGGGAAATGCTAGCTAAGGAAACAAAAAAAGAGTGGGAGTAAGGAGGAGAATTAGGTTAGAGACGTAGGTGCCTAAGTAACTGGAACAGGCCAGGAAGTCTTAAGGGAGAGCCATCAGTACATACATCTATGAGAACATAAAGAATAGAAGGAAAGGGTTTTCAGTAATGTCAATTGTTCCTGAGGACTAAAGTAAAAAAAAATAGGTCTTTGGATTAGACACACAAGAAAGACACAAATGCTGTTCAAGAGAGCAGTTTCAAGTGTAGAAGAAGAGGTAAGAAGATAGGGGAAAAGGGCCCAGTTTACAAGGAGTCAACCAGCGTTTCTCACACTTTATTGCACCAAAACACACTTGTTGGAAGAAAAGGAAATGAGACAGATCACTTGAGGCCACACATAAGGGAAGATAGCCACTTTCAAAGACAAAAAACGAACTTGTGTCATACCTTCATTCTGAGGGTCCTCACAAAAGGAAACTTCCAAGAGCAACCAACTCAAAGATCATCTACAGTCTTCTGGCTGTGAATACAGGATGGATTGATACTCTTCCAAACCTAAAACTGTGACATAATTTTAAAATGTGGTTATTAAGCACCTGCTTGTTCATCACTGTGAATTTAAGGACATTTACAGAGGTCACATCTTAGCATATGGTCTGCTTCTTCCTCGTTGAAGTTGTTGGCAACAAAGCTGCTCACAGCTTGGTGCGCTGTGCTAGCACCAGCATGAGAATTTAAGGAATGGCATGCTGTGCCAGCCAGTCCATCTGAGATTTCTGGCAGAGAGAGGCCCTAAGGGGAACTTTGTAGGAAGGCAGAGTTCTTTAAAACTTAAAAATCAAAAGTTAAGGATGTACCCAAACACCCACAAAACCTCCCTAATCTGAGTATATCATGAATGAATAACCTAAATCACCTTCAGCTAATCTATATTTTCAGTTTTACTTCTTCTTGCAGTAGTCAACCTTATTTGACTTTCTTCGCAAAATAGAACAATTCTCTTTTTATCAACTTTAATTCTTCTGGTTTCAAATCTTCAAAGAAGCCCTCAGTTCTTAACAGCAAGGTTTGATAAGCAAGACAAGTTCAGACTATTCTTACTTGATTTTATGAACTTTAGGACATGTCTCCATGGCATTTTATTTTCTATACTAAAAATGTTTTAGTTTTCTCCTGTAACCAAATCCATTTGGAGAAAAGAATTAGACTTGAATACAGATTATCTGGACGTGAATTCTAGTTTTGCCACTTGCTTCAGGGAATTAATCTCTGAATCAGTTTCTTCATTGATAAATGAGAATACTAACAAATACCTCAGGGTATAGACTAAGTTTCTATAACAAAGAGAACTTTAAAATATAAGGGCTCAAATAAGATTAAAAAAAAACACTCTTATGTAGTATTCCAGAAGTAGTGGCTCATTGGGACCCCTACACTCTCAAAGTACAGATTCCATTTTTGGATGGTTCATCTCCCAGCCAGATGTGTAGAGGAAAGATAGAGGTGGCAAAGAGCTTTACTTTAAAGAAGCTTCCTTTTAAGCTGTGATCCAGAAACCACGCACATCACTATTGTTTATATACCATCAGCCAGAATGCAGTCATGTGGCCACATCTAATAGCAAAGGAGGCTGGGAAATGTATTTCCATCTAGATGGACATATGCCCAGTTAAAATTGTCGGGGAACTTGTTTATTATTAAAAGTTAGAAGGATGGAATGAATGCTGCGGGATAATGAACAATTTATACTAGGTACACTCTCACCATTACATAGATTTCTATCATGGTTAAAAAAGAAAATCACCTAACATTTTATTTCTGATCCCCCCTTCCCACTAATAAAGAATCCCATACAGCCAACACCTCCAAGGACTAAAGAATGAGGTTTTGGTTTTGGGTTTTCTGGTTTTTGTTTTTGTTTTTTTAAGGCAGAGGATTATGTCTTCTTCATTTCCACATCTCCCAAGCCTAACACAGAAATATTCTTAATAAATGTTTATCAAAGTGAATAATCAATCACTCCTACGGCCCGTATCTGGGTTAAACCCCTTTAATAATGTGTGGAATGCAGACTTTCCATTTTTAATGAGTAGTACTATATCAATACACAACACTGTTGGCTTTACATACCATATGATCCAATTGGTTACATGGTGAAGCACTTTAGTATATTCTTGCTGTTTGATATTTTTGAGGAGAAAGGAGTAAAAATCTTAAAAAAAAAAAAAACCTGACTCCCAAAGCATGATCATGTGCTCTCAAGTTGACTATTTAAATGCCTGGGAAGATGGCAGAGTAGGAGGATCCTAAGCTTCCCCTGTGCCACATTTACAACTAGATATCACTCACATCCATGTAAGTAAATTGGAGAGGGATCCAAAGACTGGCAGAACAAACTCCACAACTAAATGTAGAGAAGAAATCACATCTGAGAGGTTAGGAAGGGCAGAAACGGTGATTGGGAGCTCTCTGCAGGAGAAAGGGAGCTGTGGGCACGGAGAGGGGAAAGCACCAGGGAGCCCGCACTGGGAAGACGAATCCCCATAATGTCTGGTCTTGAAAACCAGAGGGGCTGAATTCTTTGAATTTGTATAAGCAGCAGGACTTGGAGCCTGGAGCTTTAAAAGTCAGCTGACCCAGCACTGGCAAGCTAGAGGGTGAGGAATAGCCAGGTCCCTGCCCTTAACGTGACAACAGCCCAGGAGAGGCAACATAGAAGTGACAGTTTGCACAATGCCTGAGGCAAATAGGAGGGAGATCTGTTTACATGGATTTCTGAGCATGTTGAGGACTTCTCTGGGAACAAAGAAGCTGGAAAGCTCCATTTTCCTCCCCTGTCCCCCAGCATAAACACAGATCCACCTGTGAGAGGTGGCACTGCACAGACACTTGCTACCTAACCTGCTAGCAGGGTACCCCCCCAGGAGTTCTCCTGAGGACTCACCAACTCCAAGCCTACTGGCCTTGGTTCTGGGCACAGAACAAATTTTCTTTTTATTTTTTTAAATTTTTTTTTTAAGATTTTATTTATTTATTTGAGAGAGAGAGAATGAGAGAGAGCACATGAGAGGGGGAAGGGTCAGAGGGAGAAGCAGACTCCCTGCCAAGCAGGGAGCCCGATGCGGGACTCGATCCAGGGACTCCAGGATCATGACCTGAGCCGAAGGCAGTCGCTTAACCAACTGAGCCACCCAGGCGCCCCCAGAACAAATTTTCTTAACCCAGTGTGTGGCCCTGCCCAGCCTCCACAGGCACAGACTCCATGCTGCCACAGCTGCTGTGTGCCTCACCCCCAAGGGCCACCATGCTTGGGCGGGATCCAGTCTAGGATTAGTGGCTTAGCGCAATTTTTGCTAACACCACTGCCCCATCTCTGAGTTCTCCTGCAGTCATGCCCCTTCAGAGTTGGCCTCCATGGGTCTCAACACCACAGAGAGCAAGCACAGCCCAAACAGGCAAAGAGTCAGTGCAGGTATCTGGACTGAAAGAAAAAGTGACTTGTACACAACAGCAGGATGCAAATAACACACCTAGGAGACTCCCCTGAAGTGCCAGGTTCTGGTGAACAGCAGACACTGCACTGCAGGGCACTACAGGACCTCTTTTCATAAAGCCGCTACTTTCAAGAGCAGACGATGTAGCTGACTTTCCTAACACAGGGAAACAGACACGGAGAGGTAGACAAAATGAGGAGATAGAGAAATATGTACCAAATGAAAGAATAGAACAAAATCATAGCAGGAGATCTAAGTGAAACACAAGTAAGTAATGGGCCTGAGAGAAAATTTAAAGTAATGATCATAAAGATACTCATTGGACTTTAGAAAAGGGTGGAGAACATCAGTGAGACCCTTGACAAAGAGATAAAAACTAACATATCAGAGATAAAAACTCAATAAATGAAATTAAAAATACAATAGATGAAATAAATAGTAGGCTATAGGAAGCAGAGGAACGTATCAGTGACCTGGAGGTCAGAGTAATGGAAAGCAAGCAAACTGAGAAGGTGAGAGACAAACAAATACTGCACAATGAGAACAGACTTAGAGAACTCAGTGACTCCATCAAGCATAATAATATTCACATTATAGGGATCCCAGAAGAGAGAGAAAGGGAGGCAGAAAATGTATTTGAAGAAATTAAAGCTGAAAACTTCCTGAATCTGGGAAGGGAAACACAGATCCAGATTCAGGAGGCACAGAGATTCCCCCAACAAATTCAACCCAAGGAGGTCCACACCAAGACACACAGCAATTAAAATGGCAAAAAACAAACAAACAAAAAAAAACCCAAAACAAAAAAACAATGATAAAGAAAGAATGTCACAGGTTGCAAGAGAAAAGAAGACCATTAAATACAAAGGAAACCCTATAAGTCTATCAGCTCATTTTTCAGCAGAAACTTTCCAGTCCAGAAGAGAGTGGCATGATGTACTCAAAATGTTAAAAGGGAAAAATCTGCTTTCAAGAATACTCTATCCAGGGGTGCCTGGGTGGCTCAGATGGTTAAGTGTCTGCCTTCGGCTCAGGTCATGATTCCAGGGTCCTGGGATTGAGCCCCACATTGGGCTCCTGGTTCGGCGGGGAGCCTGCTTCTCCCTCTCCCTCTGTCTCCCCCCCGCTCATGCTCTCTCTCTCTCTCTCTGTATCTCTGTGTCTCAAGTGAATAAATGAAAAATCTTTAAAAAAAAAAAAAAAAGAAAAGAATACTTTATCCAGCAAGGTTATCATTCAGAATAGAAGGGGAGATAAAGAATTTCCCAAACAAAATTAAAAGAATTCATGACCACTAAACCATGCCTACAAGAAGTGTTAAGGGGGACTCTGTGAATGGAAAACAAAAACCATAAGTAAGAGTAAAAAAATACAAGCACAAAAGCAAAAAAAAAAAATTAAGTATATCTGTAAAAACCAGTCAAGAGAAGCACAGAATAAAAGGATGTAAAATATGATACCAAATATCTGAAATGTGGAGGGGAGAGGAGTAAAGAATGAGTTCAAAATTAAGTAACCATCAGCTTAATATAGACTACTATAAGCAAAAGATGTTATATATAAACCTAATGGTAATATAAATCAAAAAACAGTAAATGAAGAGTAAGGAATCCAAATATATCACTAAAGAAAACCAGAAAACCATGAAAGAGAGCAAGAGAAGAAAGGATCAGAGAAAAACTGCAAAAACAACCACAAAACAAGTAACAAAATAGCAATAAATATACATATATCTATAATTACTTTGAATGTCAATGGACTAAATGTTCCAGTCAAAAGACATGGTGTCAGAAAGGATAAAAAAACAAGACCCATCTATGTGCTGCCTATAAGAGACTCATTTCAGACTTAAAGACATCTGCAGATTGAAAGTGAGGGGATGGGAAAACATTTATCATGCAAACAGGTATCAAAAGAAAGACAGAGGAGTGCCTGGGTGGCTCTGTCAGTTAAGCTTCAGACTCTTGGTTTCAGCTCAGGTCATAATCTCATGAGTCATGAGATCAAGCCCCTAGTCAGACTTGGGATTCTCACCCTCTGCCCCCTCCCACTCTTGTGTCTTTGGCA